AAGGGAGCAGCTGCCGTTGGCTGCTTGTTTGGCCTCCTTCAAAGGCCCCGATGGCCTCCCGCCAGCAAAGCCGGGGACGAGCCACCTCCCTGTCACTGCGTCGCCGTGACAACCGCCTCAGCGGGGACCAAGGCCATGAAGATGGACCCCGGAGATAGGGAGCAGAAGGGAGCCGCTGCCATGGCCTCGCCGGGGGCAGAGGGGATCTCAGCTGGCTCCCTCCCTGCCGGTGAAGCCGCGTGGCGGTGGCTCGGTGTCGGAAAGCCGGTGCCCGGAGGGGACGGTGGGTGCCAGGCGGCGAGACGCGGAGAGCCGGCGGGCGTCGAGGCGCTCACCTTGTAAAGCTCCTCGTCGAACTGGCTGAGCTGGGCCACCTCCTGCATCACCTCCTTCCGCATGAAGAAGGGGGTGTAGACGGGAGTGTAGCCCTTGGCGCGGAGGCTCTGCAGGGCGTACTGGATCAGGGCCTGCTCCAGGAACACCAGGGGACCCTGGGGGACAAGGGAAGCCACCGCCCGTCACACACACACCCCACCATGCCGCCCCTTCTCGCTCAGCAGGTCTGGGAGCACGTGGAGCCCAGGCCGGCTGCAGGCTGCTCTGCCTGCCAGGCTCAGCATCACCCTCCGGCTGCGGCAGGGACACCGGAGCAGATCTGGAGGGTGCCCAGGCCACGGCGGCAGCACCACCGAGGCCAGAGTCCGTCCCGCGCGACGAGCCGGCTCAGCGCGAGCTCACGCCGCCGCCGAGGCACCCATCGCCGCAGCGAGCTCAGCCCAGGGGAGGAGAAGCCAGGATCCCTGTCCCCTCTCGTTTCCCTCCGGCTCTGATCGTTTCCGTGGCCCCGCGGGGATCTGGGCTCTCACCTTGAGGAAGTAGCCCCGACTGCCCGCGACGACGGCCCCCTTCTCTCCCTCGTAACCATCCACCATCACCACCAGGTCCACGTGGGAATACTTCTTCCTGCAGCCGCAGTCGCCCCAGACTCGCTCCACCTTGTTGTCCACATCCTGCGCAAAGATCGAGAGAAGAGGAAGCTCCCAGAGCCGCGGCGACACCAGTCTTTGTGTTGGACTGGGCCCAGTTTGGGACCCCACACTAGAGCCTGGGTCCTGATCTTGGACGGTCATTTATTATGTGGCCACTTGGCAGCCGGCCCAGCCCAATTGTGTTCCCCCAGCAAAATATTCCTGCCGGATGAATGAAGGCAGCGGAGGGAGATCCCAGCCCCCCGGCTAGGAGCGAGTTTCCCATGTATTCCCCCAACAATGGCCGTGTCCAGCGTTGTCTGAGCTGCTCTTTGTCTGCTCCCGCCAGGAAACGCTGTCTTGTCATGCAGATTTCATTCACCCGCCCGCTGATCCCTCGGGTTGCGGGGGGACCTCCCCGCAGCGAGCCCCCCGCTTGCCGGCAGTTGTCTGGTTTTGATGAAGCGACGCGGCCGACCCCGCGCGGACTCTTGTCCCTACCTCATCGTTGCTGATGGGCACCGAGGGGTGGAGGAGGTTCCCGATCTCCCGGAGGCTCTCAAAACGTTCTGCTTCCAGCCTCACGCGCTCGGCGTCGCACTTGAGGATGGCTTCGTCGATGAGGAGACGGACTTGCTTGATCTGGGATACCTGCAGAGCCTGCGCGGGCAACGGGGGGAGGTGGGCAAGGGACAAAACCGCCGGGGAGAGGGGGCTGGCAGCCGAGCGCGGTTAATCACGGCCCCTCGCCCAACCGACACGGCTTCTGGAGCGAAACCGTGGACTGAAGACATCAAACAACAGCCCCCGAGGGGACAAAAGACCGACAGAAGTCAGGCTCTGAAAGGGCCTGAGCGAGCTACGGCGTCACGCAGCGCCTGGCAGGGAGGAGGGGGAGCAGTCAGCTCCCACGGCAGCCAAAGCCGGCCAGCGCCACGCTCATTAAACACCGCAGTTAACGAACGGGGAAGGGGAACGGGCAGGGAGGAAGGGACTTGCAGAGGACACGTAATGACTGAGGCTGCTCAAATCCCGCAGGGAAGCACGGGATGAGCCGGGAGCTGCCACCGAGCGAGGCTGAAATGGTCTTTAGATGAAGGACAGAGAGCGAGAGCTGGCTATCGCTGTGCGGGACAGGGGGAAATGAGGATCCTCCTGGCAGGGGGTTCAGGCAGCCCCCCCTCGCTTGGTGCTGGGCTTTTGGGCACCTCACGCCGGGCAATTACAGGCGAAGGCCTGGACAAACTGGGTGGGCCAGCAGCGCGGCGGGGGGAGACGGGGTCAGACTCACCCCCAGGACGTCGGCCGTCAGCTCGTCGAGGTTCTGCGCGCTCTCTGGCACGGACTCATCTGTCCCCACTGGCTCTTTTTTCTGCGGCGGGAAGAAAAAGAAACCCCAGCCGGGTTAAGGAGTAAAGCTCCAGGGTAAAAATATCCCCCAACAACACGAGGGAGAGGCCTGGAGAGCAGAGACCTGGGGGAGATGCCACCCGTTAGTAACGTCCCACCAGCGAATCGCTGCCAGTGTTGTCTGTGCCTCACCTTCATCTTGTCTCCGATCGTTTTGCTGCACAGGTTCTTCAGCTTGTTCAAGTTATCGGCACGAAACCTGCCTAGAAAGCAGAGGGGAGGGAGCCGTCAACCAGCCACACGAGTGGGAGTGGGGCCAGGATCCCTGTCCGGCACCGAGAGGGGTCGCGAAGCCTCGGGCGGGAGAAGGAGAGGGGATGGCAGCTCCAGGGACGCCCATCGCCGCCGGCCCCGGGCATTTTGGAAGGACGGGGGAGGGTCTGACTGCGTGAGAGCACGGTGTGGGGCTGGCCACGATGTGGGGCAGAGGCGTGGGGAGCAGGGGGTGATTTGAAAACCCCGCAAGCAACGCTGCGCCGGGCCCCGGAGACGAGCCACAGCCCCGCCAGGACCCCCGCGCCAGGGCGGGCTGAGCAGATCCAGGGCTGCGGGGACACAGCGATGAGATTCGGGCTGTTGGATGAGGGGACCGGGGAGGTCCCCCGTGGTGACAGCAGGGCTGGGAAGGGCAGAGCCCAGGCCACAGCCGTCCCCTCCTGGCAGGGCATCCCAAATCAGAGACACGCCAACGCCGGGGCTGCGTCACCCCAACGGGGCGACGTCCCCACCCGCAGGCGCGATCAGACCCCCGGGGGGGGAGGGAGGGGTGAGCCAGAGCCAGGGAACACAAAGGGTTAAGAAGCCAGGGAACGGGGCATGGCAAACACGACCTTGGCAGCCTCCCGTGGACCCCACGGCACCGGCACCGGGCAGAGGCGGGATTGCATCAGCCAGCTGCTCGCCAGCGCATCCTGCCAACCCTGCGCCTCACGGTTACGCGCCAGCGCACCCCTCCGCAGCACCCGCCGCCGCCGGGACGGGCCGTGGCCCCCACCGCCTGCATCAGCCAGCTGCTCGCCAGCGCATCCTGCCAACCCTGCGCCTCACGGTTACGCGCCAGCGCACCCCTCCGCAGCACCCGCCGCCGCCGGGACGGGCCGTGGCCCCCACCGCC